TACAGGCAATGAAAATGGCCACCGTATGGAGGATCTTCACTGGACGGTGAATTTTTAGCCCATTGGAACACATTGAACTGTTTTCAATGTGTTTCAATGGGTTTTTACATTTCGCTTTATGACGTTTTCACTTAACAGCGATTTTCCTGGAACGGATTATCGTTGTTAAGCGAGGCACCACTGTATGTGGAAATAGATTGCAATTTGATCCACTTGTCTGGTACAATCTATTTCCCAGTGATCACACAACCCATTGGGAAATGTGTTTCAGCCCTAACCCGATCTGTGCCCAAGCTGGACCTTTTTGGTCCAGCTGTAGGGCTTCTACTTTTGGGGGGGGATGAGCTGGAGTAATTCCTCAGCAGACAGAGAAGTATTGCTTTAAGGGATGATCAAATTTCTGGTATGATCAGGTACGCACCTTCAGAGCGGTCTAATCGCACCCTCAATATCTGGGACTTAAGACTAAATATACACAACAACAAATATAACTCTTGTTCCTGGGAAAATTGTTTTTCCCTACAGCTATTGTGAAGATTGCAGTGAAGTTCCTAGAGAAGAAGGAAGCTGAAAGGTTGTATAGAATGATGATGATGTTATTTCTGATAATTTAAGAGCCTCCTTACTCTGTCCCTCTGAGCTCTGACCCCACCAATTGATCCCCAGAAAGATCAAGGTCGCCTGTTTCATCTCAGTTATTAAACCCTAGTACAGTAGTGCTATTATGCTGGGACTATAGTGTCCACAGTTTCCAGAAGATACTAGCCTGTGGATAACCCGCAACGATAAGGACAGAGTGCCTGAAACACCCAGGAAGTCCTTCTTTGTGTAAATAGGAGTTATTATTTTAACAGATTCAGATATCATTGCTAGTTGTGTAAACATGCATGTATTATTACTGGCATTTACTGGAAGGATCTCCATCTCCATTGTTTTTCTGGTTGTTTTTATAAACTGACGTCATCTTTCTCCATTTCTGTTTTTTGCATCAAGGAAGGCAGGTGTTATTTCCATAGACCCAATGGCAAAATTCCTGCGGTTTGCTGTAGGAGCATAACCAAGCCCTTTTACTGTTTAAAGCAGAAGATACATGAAGTATTTCCAATTAAAGCCTAAACAGTTCTTAGGAAGAGGTGGGAGAATCTGTGGATTTTTAAAATATATATTCAGAGACAGGCAGGAAGACACATATTTTGGAGCAGCTCAGATCCTTAAAGGATGAAGAGGAACAACAAAAAATATTTTTATTGTGCAAACTTAAATTGATTTAATAGTCCAAATGTTCTATAGCCCCCAGGGACCTATAGTGCTGCCAGGAACAGGGTGGAAAGGTGAGAAGCAATAGTCTACAGCAGGCTTCTAGCACACTGCAAAGCTACAGGCCTCATTCTTTTTTGAATACCGCAGTAGACAAACTGTATGAAAGCACATATAATTTAAAGTGCAGACTTGCTCAAACTGAGGATTTCCAAATGTGACAGCTGTAGCTCTCATCCACCACAACTCACATGCTACCATGCCTGAAGGGCACCAGATTTAGGAGGGTTGTCAAAAGATATACAGGCCATGAAAGGCCTATCAGATTAGGTTCTATTTGCTTATGTTTGCAGGTGCACTAGCTTTTAGAGATGTGCCCATCATTTGTGTTTTTGGACTGCATGCCCCAGAATCTCCCAGACAATCCCATGGCAAAGTTGCTGAGGAATTCTGGGAGTTATAGTACAAAAAACACAAATCTGCACATCAATATTTATTTTATTGTATTGTACATATTTGTACCCCACCTTTCTCCTTAAAAAGAACTCAGGGTCTACATATTTTACCCCACCTTTCTCCTTAAAAAGAACCCAGGGTGGCTTACACTATTAAAAGACCATATTTAAAGCTAAAAACAGCAAGTGTGCAAGTACTATAAAGGATCAAACAAGTACCACGCTAAAAAAAATAGAAATAAAAAAAGCAACACCAAAACTACTTTCAAAGCAGTAAGGCACAAGATGATAAAAGCTATCAAACCCTTCCCAGAGGCGCCTGATTGGCTACAGCAGCAAGAGAACCCTGTACTAAAAGGCTTGGGGGTCAGATCCAGTGTGGCTCTTCCTATCTAATTTTTTAGTCTGATGCTGATTATTTAGAAACATTCCAGTAAACGAGAGCAGGAGTGTTTTTTCCCCTGTTGTGAGATGGATTCTCCTTTCCCAGATGTTTGCTCTTACAAGGAAATAGGCTCAGCTTCCAAACTAAATGCTGCCTACTTTTTAGAGCTCAGAAAGAACAAGTTGTTCTTGTGTTACTTACATGGAGAGATGCTGGTAACAAGAACGTAATGAAGTTATAGTTGGAAAATAATGGAACAAACTGGGACCAAGTCATCTGGTTATCATACTGAGCAACATTCTGTGGCCACTTAAAAGTTGCTTTTAAAGAGCAGTTTTAAACAAGCATTTTGATAGGATGTTTTCAATTTTTATGTAGTTTTGTTGTCAAGCTCAGGCTTAAACAAAAAGTAATAGAAAAGTAAGGAACAAGGAAATGTGTTATTTCTTATCATAAGTAATAATGACAGCAAATTACCCTTCAAACTCTGTAAGAAGTGGAGAAAATGATTATTGGTGGAGGTGTGTTTTTTTTTTAAAAGTATCTTTCTAAGGTTTGTTGCTCCTCTTCCTGGGTCAGGTACACTCTTGGTAAACACTCTGCATGTTTATATACTTAAATATGCTTGAAGCTTCATCTGAACAAAACAACAAAAACTGTTCTTACTCTTGAAAAACTGCTTTCTCCACAGCAGATGGGAGCCACCACTTCATAAGAGAAAACCAATCAGCATTTTTGCAGGGGAAACAAAAGATGATGTGAAAGAGGAAGGATTAGGAGTGGGTTCTCCTCAGGCAAGATATCTGAACAGCTGGTTCACTCACCACTCAAATTATATGTGCCAGAAAAAAAGCAAACAATTGCCCCATGTTCTCGTTGTTGTTGTTTTCTACAGAATGCCACTGCCAAACCAGTGTTTCAGGATTCTTGCCTGTACTTTGGGTGGCACCTATTAAAATGTTAGTCCTTGCTGCCCTAGGCAACTGGTACTGTCTACATGTTTAGATGTCTGTATGATTCAGAGCCCAACTGTTTATCATGTGCATTTTTTCTTGCAGAGGTGCTCTCTCAAGTGGTAAAAGATGTCTGTCACAATACTGTATGTGCTAAGAACTCCCATTCTTTCTTTTTATCTGGAGAAAGAGGGCTCCATCTGTATATAAGATCATGCCCTGAACAATCTGCATTATCTCTTGTTTAAATTACTCAAGATTAGCAAAGAAATCCCTTCATGGAAATCCCTTCATGATTAACTAAGGGGCTTGAGTAATTCAGAGAAGCTATGGGCTATGCTGTGCAGGGACACCCAAGACAGACAGGTCATAGTGGAGAGTTCGGACTAAACGTGATCCACCTGGGGCAGGAACTGGCAGTATCTGCCAAGAAAACCCCATGAACAGAAAGGAAAGGCTAAAAGATATGATGCTGGAAGATGAGCCCCTCAGGTTGGAAGGCGTCCAACATGCTAATGAGGAAGAGCGGAAGACAAATACAAGTAGATGAACCTCGACAGCATCTTAAAAAGCAGAGACATCACCTTGCCGACAAAGATCCGCATAGTCAAAGCTATAGTTTTTCCCATAGCAATGTATGGAAGTGAGAGCTGGACCATAAAGAAGGCTGACCACTGAAGAATTGATGCTTTTGAATTGTGGTGCTGGAGGAGAATCTTGAAAGTCCCCTGGACTGCAAGGAGAACAAACCTATCCATTTTGAAGGAAATCAACCCTGAGTGCTCACTGGAAGGACAGATCCTGAAGCTGAGGCTCCAATACTTTGGCCATCTCATGAGAAGAGAAGACTCCCTGGAAAAGCCCCTGATGTTGGGAAAGTGTGAAGGCAAGAGAAGAAGGGGACGACAGAGGATGAGATGGTTGGACAGTGTCATTGAAGCAACCAACATGAATTTGACTAAATTCTGGGTGGCAGTGGAAGACAAGAGGGCCTGGCACGAAGAGTCAGACACGACTTAACGACTGAACAACAACAGCAAAGACGTCTGCCCATTATTATCGGAATTATAATTTCATGTAAATGGTGGTTGATTGTCATTTAAATGTGCATTTGGCTTTTTATTCGTTGCCCGACACCCGAAAAGTTGTTTTGGATCAGAGTGAAGGCCTACCCAGGCCAACATCCTGTTTCCTATAAGAAGGAGAGAAATCCCACCATCAGGATCGGAGCAAGACAACATCCTTCTGCTTGGGTCTTTCAGCAGTTGTTGTGAGCGAGGCACAATTACCTTTGCTTCTGAAAACTGTGTGTAAATACATTCAGGATTAGTACTCTCCATAGCTTAACACAATCAAGAGTCATTAGTCCTATACAAGCATCTAGTCTGAAATTATGTGTGGCTCAAGGGATATTAGCAATGGGGCCATGCAGGTAAGCTTTGCCTCTCCATCTCCACCTGACTCCAATGTCTGCCAGACTCTTGCGCTCAGCCCAAGCTGTGGATAAGTACTGTAAGTGTCCGGAAATGAACATATAATGCTTCTGTGAACAGTAGCCCTTCCTTGACAGAGCAACAGATGATGGAATTGTTGACAGCCTGTTCAGCTGAATGCAATAACAGTGCCTATGCACACTGAGCACACAAAGAGCTGTAGGACGTCTGGGATGAAGTCAGGTGGGGGGGGGTCTGAGGGTAGGAATTACTGCACACCCCCTCCCCACCACTCCTTGAGTCATACATGCTTTCAGGCTAAACATCTGAATAAGGCTTCTGTGTTAGATTTACTGAGGTTTCAATTTTGCATACCAGGAAACCAGAAAGTGGAAGTTTTGATAATATATGCAGCACATACCACTATTTTCAGCCATATATCATGTGAAAATGAGCTTATGAAGACACACCCTGGTTGACAGAATGTGAACCCTACCGGTTCTGTGAGAAAGGGAAGGTTGGCTGTGGAGAAAAAATTGGGGAAGGCTTGAGGAAGAGCTGCCTTTGTTTCCAAAGGAACCACAGGAGGAACGCTGGGCAGCCCCGCAGGCAGAGAGTCACAGGGCTGAAGGGAGATGAACGAAACAGGGAACCAGGATCGCCTAACCCTGACTGAGGGAAGACTAAATGAAAGAAGCAGAGGAACAGAATTTTTAAAAGTATGAACGACTGGAGTCTGGAATAAAAATATAACTTAGGGCCAGGCGGGATTGTATGTGAAGGGAAGGAGTAGATGAGGTTGGCAAGAATGTGGGCTTGGAAAAAAGTTGGAAGTGAAAGATATAGAAAATAGAATGGGTCTTACCATTATGCTGAGTGAAAAAGCAGATACTGAGAGGGGCAATGGGGCAGCAGTGAGGAGTGAGAGGCAGAGCATTGCCCAAGCCGAAACAAGAATTCTGATCTGCTATGATGGGGTTGGAGGCCATTTTATCCTTTGCCTTAGCAAGCCAAAGGTTTGGCCCAGTCATGGTAGAAAAGCATGGCCTTAATGGTTTTACAGATGAAAATAGGCACACTCTTCGTGTAACTACCTTCAGGTACACTATACGGTTCTATCAGAATTTGAGAAATCACTTTGCAAAAGTAATGTGTGTATTTTGTTAGAAAGTTCCCAGTAGTAATGGTGTTACATTTAAAAGGTAATCTATTGTATAATTGGTTGTGCTACCTTTTTTCCCCTTTTGCATAGGAATGAAAAAAACAACAGCATAAATATCTAAAAATTAGATAAAATATCTGAAAGGTATCTAGAAAACACTGCTCAATGTACCAACATTTTAAAAAAAGTATTCTCGAGCTGATTTTTTTCTGAAACATAACTTTTATTATGCCCTCATTATAAAAACTTGGAGACAACTCATTGCAGATGACTTTGTTGTAACTCATTGCCCGAGTCTAGAATAGTTATTTTGTTGGATTACAACTCATAGAATTCCCCAGCCATTTTTGCTGGGGAATTCTAGGGATGTGGTCCAAAAAAAGTAATTTTCCCAACCTCTGCTTGTAGTTTCCAGGTGCTGGACATTGTACTTGAATACTCTGTTTACTTGAGAACAACCTGCCTTACGTGAACTCCTAAAGCAAGGACTGCTAAATAAAAACCACAGTCAATGTTTCTCATTTTAAAAAGCGCAATAATTTTGAGGGTATGTTTTGCCTGACCGGTTGTGGTTGCGCTTAAGACAGAATAGCTGCAAGTCAAAAACATTGAGTACCTGTTTTGATCTGAGCAGGTGCTGCAGATGGTGGAGGCTGGACGAGAAAGTTCTTTGTAGCTACACCAGGAGCAGGTGACATATGGCTTTCTGAGCACTGGACTGATTCCCAGAGCCTACAAAACACACCAACACACACCCTGCAGAAACTAGCTAGGAGAGTGGGAGCAGCCACAAACTAAAGGGCGAGAACCAACTTCAGCCAAGAGATCATGATATATAACTGCTAATAAGTAGCGCTGGAGGAAATGACCATTCTGCTCACCAAGTTAAGTGTGCTTCCTTCTCCAGATCAGTGACACAATCAATGACAGATTGGAGAGTAAGAGAACTGGATTTAGATTTAACGGGGTTAGGTAAACATAATTTTTAGTCCAAAGTAAGATAATTTTTTTCATGTTTCATTTGGGCACAGACTCAGAGATGCCATCCTCCCAGCCATCTGATCCAAAGCACATGCACTTCATGAGAGGCAAACATGCCCAAATCTTCCCCTCTCTCTTCCCTTCTACCCTTCCGTTTTTCCTTCTCTCTATGCACCTTTCTGATACAGGGTTCCCTGGGCACCACTAAGCCTTTTCTTGTTTCCCATAATCTCACTCCTTCCATAGACTTCTGCATTTCAGTGTTTTTCCATGGCCAACCAGCCCTTGCTTTGTGTTACTCTGCCCTCATTCATTCTGGACTTATATCAATTTCAATGGCTTCTCTTCCTCTCTTTTTTGCCTCCAATCAATGAGTGAAGTGAAAACATGTTGATCCCTGACAATAGCATCAGCCTCCTAGAAGGCTTCATAGTGTCTCCCTTCCTCTCCTTGTTGAGGTTTGTTCTTCTTAAATGTATAGATGATCTGCTAGGTATTATATACTTGATAGGCGGTGTGAAATAACACACAGTATCAGCTGGATTCTTGATAAAGATGTAGGTAGACAATATTTTATTTGCATGTTGATCTCGCTATATTGGTTGATTTAGACAAATGATGGTTTAGACAGAGATTCATATACTGTATATCTGAATGACCGGGTGAGGATATGGATAACTACGTTGTTTATTGCACTCCATGGTCTGAGAAAGCAGATTTTTATCCATGAAAGCTTGCAATGAAATAAAATAGTTTATCTTTAAAGTACTATAGTATATTGTGTTTGCTTCCCCCCCCTTTTTTTGTCAACATGCTGAGATAGACTGACATAGCTGCTTCTTTGGAAATATCCTAGTTCAGGTGCACTTGATGACAAAAAATGATTCCTCCCTGCTCCTTTGTCTTATCCCCATTCCTATTTCTGTTTTGAACCCAGAAAATAGCATCATGTGTCAGTTCTGGAGGCTGTTATCTTTTGCAAAGATGCCTTGTCAGAAGGATGATAACCTGCATGCATTCCTGCATAAGTAAACTGATAGTGAGTAGTAAAAACTTAATCTTGTTGTGTTCTTATCATAGACTGACTAAAAGCTTTTTGTCCTTCTGCTCTAACTGCATAGTAGTGGCTTTAACTAGCCACATGGGCTACGCAATGTGTATGACTGCTTCCAAATAATGGCTAGTTTTACACACACACACACACACACAAATCCATACCTTTCATAATTATATCTTTCCAATGCATTGGTAAGAGAGCTGTCTCAGTGTTGCACAGTGGCTCCCCATTCCAGAAGACATAGGTGGACCAACCAGAATAAATCTACTGAATCAATTGTTACTAGTGGTCATGTTACCAGATAGGCAGGATAGGATAGGATAGGATAGGATAGGATAGGATAGGATAGGATAGGATAGGATAGGATAGGATAGGATAGGATAGGATAGGATAGGATAGGATAGATAGATAGATAGATAGATAGATAGATAGATAGATAGATAGATAGATAGATAGATAGATAGATAGATAGATAGATAGATAGATAGATAGATAGATAGATAGATAGATAGATAGATAGATAGAAGGGATTTGAAGTACCATGACAAAAACAACAATGACATCAGCTTGTACATAAATCCTGTTGATTGAAGAGGTCTAGTTGGTGTTAGCTATTGGATTTAGACCGGCTCCACCAAGACTATGGCTTCATTTTTTGAGGCATTTTCCTATCAGGTTTTATAAGTCTGAAAATTTCTGCAACAGGAGGCTAACCTTCAAAGGAAAAGACCAGTCTCTAAATTTCAGCTGTTAACTGCTGTTTTAAAGTGTACTGTAATTTGATTCTTCCATTTAGTTTAGTTCTCTGCTACATTTATGATTTTATTCTGTTGTCAGTATTTTATTGATTTTCTTTTAAAAAAAATTAAGCCACCTTGTGGCTTTTGTAAAGAAGATGGAAGTATAAAGTAACAGCACCAGCAGTTTCATAAAGTCTTATGAAATCTTTGACTGAAACTTGAGGCTATCTATACACTAGTTAGATGTTACTGTGGATTTGAAGTACTGTGACAGCATAATTTATTCCCACTAAAAGCACATTTTTGTGGCTTAGGGCCATGCCAAAATATTGCTTATCAGTAGCAGAGAAGTACTTGGAATGAGTAACCCCAGCAAACATAAATGTGAGAAGGTGGTAGCAAATAAGATAATTATTGCAAAATGCTTTTTGAACAAAGACTGCAATAAAAAATGTACAGGTAATTGACTTTCTAGTGGCACCAATTTTGGTTTGGGTGCATACCAACAAAAGAAACTAAGTGAAGGTTTATGAAACTCAGCACAGAGCTTTTCCTGTAAGAAGTACAGGCCCAATCCAGGCAAAGTTAAGCACTTTTCAAGCTTGCTCAACTTCAGAGAGTAGGTTTAAAAAAATCTGTTTTAATGTTTTCCTAATGAATTCAACAACAATTAAGGGATTAAATTTTGAGGTCTGTACCCTATTCAAGTTCCTGATTAAGGAAACATGATCCCTTATGTCCTAGGATCAGTGGTTTCAACTATATGATTATTTTTGAGCATTTTAAATTGTTTTTCTTCTATTTTGTTATCCATTTTAATGTGAACTGCTTGGCTTTCAAGTGGTATATAAATACTGTATAAGTAAATACTATAAACAAAATAATAGCACATTTTAGTTGTGTCTACTCAGACCTCTTTGTTTCTCCCTTCTTCCCATCTTTGTAGATGTCAGGGCTGGATTTTAATTTTCATTACCCATTGGATATATGTTAGAATTCCACCCCCTTCACTCAAGGGAGGGGTCTAGATGTTATCATCTCCTGTTTGTACTCTTCCACAAGTTTTCTCTTTGTTTCTTCCCTCGTTTCTTTCTAGAGAAAATCCACAAGTGAATAAAGCAGAAGACCTGCACAATGCTTTTTAATTATACGAGCCTTCTCTGATCCTGATAGTATACTTCCCCTCTCCTCTGTCTCTCTGTGTCTTTTTGTTGACACTCTTCACTGCCCATCAAACCGTGGGCAGGATATCGTGGCTGTAGAAGTCTGAATTGATCACACGCAGAGCAAAGCTTGAAAAGTTACTTTTGGTGTGGGCAGCATATCGTGGCTGTTGTCAAAAGTCTGAATTGATCACAAGCAGAGCAAAGCTTGAAAAGTTACTTTTGGAAACATACTTCCCAGAATCCCTCTGCTAGTAGGATCACCGGCCATGGAAATGCTAGCTCTAATTGTTTCTAGTCTATGGAATATGTTTCTAATTAGCTGAAAGCCACCGATGGCCCACCTCTGGTGGCTATGGTTACATACACTCATTTTAGTATTTCCAGCTTATTTATTTATTTAAAATATTGTTTATCGCTAGAAAGCATGAAATTCTGGGGTGAGAAGACAAGAAATATTTAGACTATGAAAAGCTAAAAACAGTAAATTATGCAAATATTTTTAAAGCCTTAATCACATTCTATTTAAATGTTAGGTTAAAACATGACTAAAAACCGATATAGAAGCAACAAAATACAAACCATTCCATTTAAAAATCTCTCTTACACAGCCAGTCACTAAGGAAAAGCCTACCCGAAGAGAAAGGTCTTTGTCTGCTTGTGGCAGGACTGCAAAGATGGGGCCAGCCTAGCTTACTGCAAGAGAGGGTTCCAGAGCCTGGGAGCAGCAACAGAGAAGGCTTTTTCCCATGTCCTCTCCAAACTCAATTGTGAAAGTGGTGTGATCAAGCTTTAATGTACATTTCTACAGTCCAACAACACTTAGCAGCCAAGTAAATGTGTTTCATTGCCGCAGGTTTTATTCTTCTACTTGTTATCCTGCTGGGACTCACATAGGTTTAAAATTCAACTTTTTGTTTTTCCCTTTTGAGTCATGATTGGCAAACAATGTTGTAATTTTTTTTTGTTCAAACATCTCACTCATGGAGAAATCGCTAGAAAGCATAAAATTCTGGGGTGAGAAGACAAGAAATATTAGTTGTCTGCTTCATAACTGAAGTGATAAATGTGCCTCCCCCAACTCCATGCAATGTGGGTGGGCAAAGCATGGACCTCCAAAAGTCAGTGGGCCACAATTCTCAACGAGAGCTCAGATATTTTCTTTCTTGGGACTGCAACTATCAGAATCCACTAACATGGCCTGCCAAAAAGACACATTCCCTAACTTTGTATTCGGCTTTCCTCACCATGGGCTATACCTGATGAGAGTTGCAGTCCAGTGACCTCCGGAAGGCAGCCCCTTGTCCACCTCTGCCCTACGACCATTGATTACCGCTCTAGAGGTATCTTGCTGCACCACTCTACAATATCACAATAGGCTTCAGCTGTGACAGGGATGGCAGTCAAACCTACCTTCCTGCACAAGTGAAATAACTGAATGCAAGTCTTTTCAGAAAGAAGTGTTCCATTTTGAAAAGCAAGAGCACTTTTTTGTTGTTGTTTGTTTATGTGTTGATTTTGGACTAAAGACAGCCAGGCGTTAGTTCCTCCAGCTTCATGGCTTCTCAGCCTGTTTGGGTTGGATGCCATCTTCCCTGTGATTAAGCTCTTGCTGTTTTGGGAGCCCTTGGCTCACCCACACATTCTTGTGCTCTGCTTGTCAGGGCTGGCCATAAGGTTTTGCAAGCTAATCTGCTGGGTTTCATGAAACCCAAGGAACATATTTAATGTGATAGCTCTCAGATATAAAAAGAAAGGCTGGAAAAGTTGCAAAATTGCATGAAGTCAAACTGTTAAAAATTGTAAGTATGTAACAGCTGGTAAGCAAACAGGTTTACATAGACATCTAGAGGAGTGCAAATTTCTGGTTTGAACTACAAGCCCCAGAATTCCCCAGAGAGCATAGTTTATTGAAGAATTCTGATGGCTGTACTCCAGAAACACAAATCTGATCACCTTGAGCAGCAACTATACTGAGTGAGAGAAGAGGAACTGTCTCTAGAAGTGGGTCTTCTTTGTGTTGTCTTCATGGCTGGCACCAGAGTGAATGTGGAGAGACAAAGCTCTCTTTCTGAAAATTATTTGCCTTCTGGAGTGGCATTACTGAAGGCATTGGGAATCAGTCAAAACTACAGCAAGAAAGTAAGTTTGTTCCCTGCCTCAACAGGTAAGGGGTGAATAATGCAGCTTGACTCTGTAGAAATGCCCTGGTAACTCTAAGTCGATGTCACTGACGTGTTTTATGAATCAGTTTCATTTGCTAGAATATGAACTAGCTGCTTTCCTACAGCTTCCTCTTCCTTCTCTCACACATGCACCAGGGTTTTTTATGTGCAATTTTCTTAAGTTTAATTCTTGTGCACCAGTGTCATGGGGTTTTTCCAGTAAGAATGCAGGTGAGGATTGTAGCTGAGTGGGTAGATGATCTGACAGGAGGCTTGTGCAGTTGGCATGCACACTTTGACATGTCCACTCATTAAACTAGGAGAACCAAGAGTATCAGGTTCTACCCCATAGGTTATCTACTTAAGTTATATGTAGAGAAGCAAGGAACATAAGATGCTGGCTTGTAGCAAGTCAGGTTGCTGTTCAGTTTAATCAGGTTATCTACTTGAGTTAGATGTAGAGAAGCAAGGAACACAAGATGCTGGCCTGTAGCAAGTCAGGTTGCTGTTCAGTTTAACACTGATAGGCATCCGGCCTTCAGTGTTAGCTTATGCAGCTGGTTGACCTCACAAGATTGTGAACGAGGAGAGTTACTTGGTACTGAGGTCATAGCCCTTTCCTCCTTCAATACCGCAGCCCTCTTCATACTGCTGCCCTCCACACGTGTAGAGAGTCAACACATATCATACTCAACTGGTGCCTTCCTGGCTGGGGATGGTGGGTGCTATGGCCTAACGGACCTGGAAGGCACCAGGTTGCACTAGGAGAGGAGCTGTAGCTCAGTAGTAAAACACATTTGTGAGGGTTCAATTCCTGTACTAGGGAAGGCCATGGCAAGCCCTTGCAGGTCAATTGTAGACACTGCTGAGCTTAGATGAAACATTTTGGGAAAATATTTTGTATCAAAAGCTTTCCAGAAAGCATGGGGGACACAGTTTGAGCAGAACATGTTATATAGCAGGTCCAAATCCACACTTAACTGTAAAACTTACTGGACAAGCTACCCTTTAACTGTTGGCAGAAGGACAAGAAGATCAGCCTAACCTCTGAAGGGAACTTTCCATAACCTCTCTTGTGTCTCCATCGGAAGCTTCTGTGAGAGCAACGGGATGGAGAGAAGGGCCTCCTCTGAAGATCTTAACAGCCTGGAGAGAGAGATATAAATGACAAATCGCAGCTCTCACTCTGTGATGAATGTACTTTCTTGCTACCTGAGCAAAGCAGATCTGTACCTCGAAGCAACATGGGGTTCAAGGGTCAATGGAGAGACAAAGCAGCTCTATCAAGTCTTTGCTTGACTGCCTAAGATGCAGCTGCGGGTTCAAAAGATGAGCTCACTTTGCTAAGAAACAAGCTTAGTCACAGGGAGCATCTGCAGCTAGGGTTTTATTCTTTGGACCTCCCTCCCCTTTCTCTGGGAGCAAGAAGTGTGTCCCAACCTCAGCTGTATCAAGAGCCGCATATTGTTTTTGCTTAAGGCACATTTTTCCTACAGCTTCATCTTCCAAAAAACGGGGGGGGGGGGGAGGCCCCAGGAGCAATCACTTTTCCTGATTTACACCACCATCACCCACTCAAAGTGTTATGAGATTGTGTTTTATCTTAGTGCTGATATCCCCCTTCCAGCAGCATCTGGTTGAGATTACAAGGCCTCCTTCCCTGACCTTGGTATCAGTTTGCATTTTCCTCTCTAGCCTTCCTCTGAAAAGCAGACCCAAACCTCTCCCCCCCCACACACACACACCCATTTCCATTTCACACACCCACAGACTCCGATTTGGAGGTTATTTTGACTTCAGTTATTTTGACATTGTTTGGAACAATTCTATAAATAAAGAGTATTAGCTGCTTTTTCGTTTTACCGCCATCGTTGCCCTGCATGCCGCCCGTTGGGTTGGCACATTCTTTAAAGTTTTCAAAGGCTGTTCCCCACTGCACAGCTGTGCCTTTGTTTTCATCCCCTCCGAAGCAAGACATTTTTGCCTTTCAGTGGGGTTGAATTTCATCATTTTGCATTCTGGGCCTGTGCTGTTTTCCTCCTCCCTGGGATCATATTGTTGTTCGGGTCCACCTTCCCTGTGGATCTTAAGGTACATCTGATATGTTTGGAATTTCAGGCTGAAATCTGATCACCTCTTTTGTCAACTTCCTCTTGTATCTCTCTAATGAAAGAGACTAAAACATGATCTAATTTACTGCACTTTATCTACATTCTCCCTCCTGGACCATTAGTGAGATTCTAAATCCCTCTGTGGCCTTTAAACAAAGCACATGCTTTCTCCTTGTTCTTCTCAGGGTGCTACCATGCATTCGTAAGTCCAGCCCCCATGCTGTTCTTACAGCCATGTTAAAGGCTATGTTTACTATGCAGGCAGTTGTGTTGGACCAAGGGAGAGTAGCCTAACCTACTGTACATTTATACTGTGTTTTTAAAAGCACATACACTTTGTCTCTGATGCTGCTCTCACTGGATGTCTTATTAATGGATAACGTGGCCCAAGTGAAAATAAGAAACATTAATTACACACTAGCAAGACATTTACAATGAACAGCTAGACGTACTCACTGTGAAAAGGGCCCACATTTTATTAATTTAAAGTCCCAACTTTGAGCTTGGGAAAAAATGTGCAAGTCATGGCATTGTTTTTCTCTGCATACATTATTATTTGATTGTAAGATTTCAGAGTATTTGTGACAGGAACAAGGGGAGGCACCAGATAGGGCAGAGTAGAAAAGAGGCCAGTGACCTCTAGTAAAAATCAGTTCGTGGCGGGCAGACCTTTGCCAACATGTTTGCGGTTTTTGTTAGATGTTGGCTGCTATTATTTCTGGATTTGGCAACATACAATACTCAATTAAGTTCCTACATTCACAGTTTCTTCACAGTTGTACTGCATCATGGGTTTTGTGCTTGGCAAAAGTATTGATGTATAGTTTTCTTTCTTTCTTTCTTTCTTTCTTTCTTTCT